ACAAAGTGTTATAAAACATTTCCTGTGTTGATGTGTTTGACTGTGCTAAACCATTCAACATGAGCTATATTCAAGACAGACACACCTCTGAATATATCCCAGCTTTTCCAATGAAGGCAATACATTAGAGGTTGTGTCACTATTGAAGGCACTGAGGAATCTGGTAAGTGAGTATCTCTGAAAGGATGACCCAATGGGTCAGAGGTTGTCTAGTACAGGGCTTTTCAACCAGTGGTACGGGACCATCCTAGGGAAGTGGTAGCGGGGCGGAGAGGAATGAGCTGAAGTGGCGGCAGCACTGCATAAGCCGGAGGGAGAGACAGCTGGAGCTGCAGAGCTGTCGGGGCTCGGCAGAAGCCCCAGGATAAGCACCGGGCTCCAGCTGATTGGCACTTCCGGAAGCTGGAGGTACCTTGAAGAGAAAAGGAGGGGGGAGAGAGGAGAGGATATAAAAGGAGGTTTTGGCAGGAAAGGGCCAAGGGGCTGCCTCCACCCTGTCCTCTGGGCACACGAAGAGGAGGCGGTGAGCACCCAGCATCCCTGCTGACCATCCCTGCTGACCACTGAGAAAGAAAAAAGGCAAGAAAAGGGATTCCCTTTCTCCCAGGATGCCAGTGCTCGTGTGCTTGTGACCTTCTTTGTGCATCCCCAGGGGGCGGGGCAGAGACGGCGGGGGCCCTTGCTGGCTCCAGGGCTGCCGTGTGGATCTAAGGCTGAGCGCGTTCCGGTTTTGATGGCCCCCACCAGTAGATCAGCACCACACCCACTTGCTGATCTAGCCTCGCTTCCCTTTCACTGGGACCGCCCCTGCCTGTGTGGGGTAGCTACGGCCGGTGGCAGCATGGCCAACGGCAGTGCTGGCAATCTCTCTCCCTCCCATCATCCCTTCCTGAGCGTGGAGAAAGGAAAGAGAAGCAGGGGAGGAACAGAGGGAGGGAGGGAGGGAGGGAGGGAGGGAGGGGAGGAACAGAGGGAGGGAGGGAGGGAGGAAGGAGGGAAGGGAGAGAGGGAGCTGGGAAAGGGACTGCCTTCTGAGTGTTTCTCAGGTTTATTTTTTTCAGCTGCCAGAGGCTCCGGGCAGGAGGCTTCACATTTTGACTCCTCCCCCATTTTTCCCTCTGTGTGGCTCTCAGCTCGCCTCTCCCAGACCTGTGCACATGTGTGTGTGTGCAAACATGTGGGGGTCTCACTCCTTGCAGCCTCACGCTGTGACATTGAGGAGGAAAAGAACAGGAGAGATAAGAGAAGCTGTGATGGGAGCTTCTTGCAGCCTTTCATGGGGCTGAAGGCAGGAGCTGAGGGGGACAGGGTGCGATGCGATCGGTGGCACGTTGAGAAAAAGAAACAAGTACTCCAAAAAAAAGAGGCTTTCGTTAGTTTGCAGCCTGCCATCGCAGAAGGTCTCTGTTGAGGGCGCGGGACTGCAAGGGGTGAAACCCCCGCCCCCCGTGTGCGCGCACACACTCACATGTGTGCAGGTCTGGGAGAGGTGAGCTGAGAGCCATGCAGAGGCAACAACAAGGGGGAAGGGTCAAAATGTGATGCCTCTGCCCACCGCTGCCATCTCTGCCCGGAGCCTTTGGCAGTTTAAAAATAAGAGCAGGGAAGGAAGGAAGGAAGGAAGGAAGGAAGGAAGGAAGGAAGGAAGGAAGGAAGGAAGGAAGATTATAATGAGGGAGAGAGGGTCTGAGGGAAGTCCTACCTTAGCACTTGGCCATGACCAGCCTTGCTGCACTTTTGCTATCCCCTTGTTCCCTCTTCCCGATCTTCTGGTGGTCTCCCATCCTATCACTGAGGATACTTTGGTTACAAAGCCGGGTCTCCTTGCATGGAGAGGGATTTGCCCTCCCTCTGACCTCCAATTTTGCCCTCCCACACACACCATGAGCAACCTGGCCAAAGAGAGTGAGCTAAGCAGCAGCCTCAAGGTGAAGGTAAGCGCAGCCGGGGGGGGGGGGCTTGAGGAAGGCTGGGCTGAGCTGGGCGCTTGCCCTCCACTGCCCAGGGCTCTGGGCAGCCTGGACTGCCAGGGGTCCTCCATGTGGCCTGAGAACAAAGGAACCACCACCGAAGAAATTAAAACTGGTATATTTTTCTTTTTTTTTTTTTTACGGTTTTTAACATTTTATTAGATTATGGAATAACATACAAAAATACAAAAGCAAATGGTAGGACACAGTGGGGAGGAGAAAGGGGGAAAAAGTGAGGGGGAGAAGGGGGAAAAAAAGGCAACGACTTCTAACTTCTTCTGTTGCAGAAGAATGAAGCATTAATATCAAACTTCAGCTTTTTACTTTTCCATAATAGTATAAACTAGCCATTTCTATAACCCCAAATCCCGCCCCTTTTTTTCAGTCATCAAGTTTTTAACATCTTGCTAAGCACTGGTGGTACTCGAATATTGTCATGTCCTAAAAGTGGTACAATCTGTGAAAAGGTTGAAAAGTAGCTCCTCCTTAAATGCTAAGGAGTAAGTGATAAGCCAGCTGTAAAAACAAAAAGCAGTCTGATATTACTGGATAAAATTAACTTCTTTATCAGTTCTAGCTTTTACCAAAACGTTATCTTCTTCTTTAAAGAAAAACCCTAACTCCTGCAGCTTATTTTTGCTTACAAAATGTAGTGCCTTTATCTTTGATGCTTTGGACATCAATACAGTACTAAGATATCTGGATGAATATAATAAAGTGGCAATGTGAAAGTAATCTGAAGAGTGTGCTTATTTCTATACCATGCTAAGCAATAATTTGTTTGCTTCATACAATGTGACAGAATAGATGGTTTACAGCAACACTGCAGCTTAGAGTATGATTCAGACAGAACATGGCCTAGTGACCTAGTCACATCCTTTTGCACTGCAGTATCTTCATACCAAAAAATGAATCACATAATTTTATTTGTATTTAATATCCACTGTATGTTGCACTAAGTTTTTCATTGACCAAATATCCCTTAGCAACAGTAATGTTGCTTCTCTCAGGCTGATTATAATTACAACCCAGTAAGTCTGAGCAATTCAGACTAATCCTGATAATGCTCATTATTACTTTAACTTCTCTTTAAAATAGGATGATCAACTTGAATAAGATTATAATTAATGTCAGTAATAGGAATTTGGAATCGGGTTTAGAGAATTTCAATCCTCAGGGACATGATTCAATAATGTTACCTAATATGGAATATCAATATGGAAAACAGGCAAATATAGGTAAAACACTAAGTGAACAGCCAGATCTGTATAACATACAGCAAAAAGACTTAGGTCTCCAATACTCAGGATAGTTTCCTGACATGGAAAATCTTGAAAGAAGACACACACAGTAACTTCTAAAATGCAGCATATCCTACAAAGGATGAAAAGGGTTGAGTGCTACATTAAGAAAAATGCAGGGAGAAATAAGAAACAGATCAACTCCCAATTAAAATGACAGATACTACAGAATTTGCCAAGCCTAAAATATACATTCTTTGCAATTTTTCATCTCTACAAATCAGAGCAAGCAGATAGCAACTGGTACTTCTGCACCGGTTGCAAAGAGATTCAGTTAATGCTAATAACTGTATAAAGTTACACAATAAAAAAACGTATTTTTTTCATCTCCTTAACTTTAGATGGAGCCTGGGAAGACTGAAATCATGTTGCCAGGGTGAGAGCAAATATATTAGCACCATGAAAACTAAGTCTGCTGTACTGTTGGTGCCACCTGGGCCCACTCATTTCATCATTTACCAATCATCTGCTGAGTACTGAATGATAACAATAAAATATTTCTAATTTAAAGAAATTTTTAGCAGAAACAAACAAGTAATTCTATCTCTAAAGCTGTCAGTTTCAAAGACGGGTAAAAAATGCTACTGTCGGTATAACTATTTTACTTGGGGAAAAAAAGTACATAGGATTGTAAATTTGGTGCTATGCATGTTTGTGTTTATTACAACTATAATTTCAACTCACATGCTTTTACATACTAGGTTACAATAGCTGTTGATACATGCTCTTAAGCCTTAGGGATAGGGCGGGCCAAATATCTAAATGGAAGAGTTCAAGCAAGAGGCCACATGCTTATAAATCAAGGGTAACTAAGTGTATGTGTGTAGGTATGTGCATGTGTATATATACACACATACAGGTATACACACACACACATATATGTATGTGTGTGTACACACACACACACACACAAATTTGGGCTTCAGCTTATTGTGTATGCTGGAGGTTAAGAATGTCATTGCTGTACTCTAATGCTTTAATTTCAATAATTTAGTTTTTCTCTTAAGATTTAAATTCAGAGAGGAAACCCCACACAATTGCCAAACAATGCAAGAGAAACTCCAGATAACCTGATGTCATGTTGGCAAAATCATCTAAAATACTATGAAACAATAATGAAAAATAGAAGTGATTCTGTCCTCCAAAAATATTCGCTAAAATTACCAGGATCTGCAACTCTGAGGGGGGGGGGGGAACGAAGCAGGAAGAACAGGCTAAGCCACTCATAGAGGACTTAGGAGGCAGATTGCCAAATGGCCCCACCCTCCCTCTGAAAGGGACGACAAAATAATAACAATACAAATTTAAAAGCATTAGATTAGTTCAACTGGCTGAACCCTAACTTGTGGAAGGGCAAGCCTATCCGGAAGTCGGGTCTGTTAACCACAGCGAGTTCGACCCTATATTCATAGGAAGGAGAAAGATTATCGGGCTAAGATACGAGTCCAAATTTGTGGGTCCCTTGAGAACACCGCGTCGGACGCCCATCTGCAAACCTTGTGGCTATAGCATTGGAGATAAAGCGCAACCCTACGCTATCCTACTCAGATGGAAGTCCGCACTGACTTCCAAGGATTTTATTCACAGGTGCGTGTTCCGGATTACAGCCCAGGAGTTTGCGGCTGCAAAAGTAAGGACAAAAAAATAAAATAAAAATGCAGATCTGGCGAAATAGGAAGGGGGAAAGAGACTTCAGGATCTATTTATCTGGGGCACTTCAGATCCTTACCTGGACGAATCTTCAGCAAAGCAGATCCTTTTTCCTCGCGCGGCTTCTTTCCGCCTCCTCACTCTCGGAACAGCCACCCGAGTCCTCCACTGCGCAAGGTCACAGGCTCCGCTCTACTAGGGGAGAGCTACTTCGCGTTTCGTTCCTGCTGCTTCCCCGCCGAGGGAGCCCCCGCGAGTTGGCAAGTTCGTCGCGCGCCTCCTTCACGGTGGAGTAGCGGCTTGGCGCCCGAGCGATCGGCTTTTCCTTCTCTGCCCGCAACCTGCAGCCTCTTCTCGCCACACCGGTCCGGGGAACGGAGTTCTTCTCTTCGCCTTATCGGTGAACCCCGCCTTCCGTCCCGGACTAAGCTCCGCCCCGAATGCTGCTCTCCGCCAGCAGGTATGGGCAGAGCTACAACGGAACAGGGAAGCCAGAAGGACAGCCTGGCGGACCAACCACCGTTTGCTTCCACTGCTCTGCCGGCCAAGACCTGGGCGAAGTTTGGTGGTGGTGGTGGTGGGGGGGGAAAGCCTTTCTTAATGGAGCGTTAAAGGCGTTCAGTTTAAGCTCATCCTTTATCTGCCTATTTTTCTTAATCGTAATAAAAGCGAGTATAGCATGGCTTTCAGGAACCACTTGTTTTCACGGGCCAATTATACAGTTCTAGTTGTAGCATTTAAAACACAAGTTAGGACAAATCAACAAGTGCATTTATAGCTAAGATTCCTGGCACACTTCAGCCAAATCCCAAGAGCATGCCTCCCAAATTGTTTAAGAACCCAGCAACACCAGGCAATAATAGCCTCCCAGACATTTAACCAGCAAGATCACCATGTTGCCCAGCATTTACAGTACAAAGATAGAACTTGCCTAACTAACCTTGTAAGTCCTATGCAAGGATTTGGGTTGCTTGGCAAATACAGCATAAGGGAGATCAAGGGTGACATTTCACACAAGAATTCAGACTATAATATGGGTGGCATGTAGCTGTTAGATCTAATGGCAAAAATGATTGGCTGGTTCTCTTATTGCTTGCCTGTGGTTAACTGAATCATGGTTTATTAACTGATTCAATCTCCTAGTTTGTATGCCAGTGAAGTGTTAATTACACAGGCTGGATTAATGTAACATGCTAGGTTCATATATGGCTAGTTATGGTTCAGTACACCATGAAAGCAGTTGCCAAATTGAACTTTCTGTGAAGTGCCATTTTGGGCACCATAAAATGAGCCTGACAAGAAAGAATTAATTCTATCTTTTCCAGGCAAAGCTAAACTTTTGCAACCCATTGAGGGACACACACCCCCATTCAATTCCCAATTGTCCCATTGACTTCAGAGCAAAAATAAATCTGTTTACATCTTATTTGATTCTAAAACCTGTGTCTCTTTCAAATCATTGTTCAATTCCAACTGGAAAAAAAAAAAAATCCAGCAGCTCTGAAATGCAATCCTTTCTCATACCCAGCCTCTTCCCATGTAATAGCATTCAAAGATCCTCCAGTACATTCACACTATGCTTGGTCAATTGCATGTTAAGATGGCTTTCAGAAGCTGTTCCCATTGAAGTTTTTGGCACGAAAATGGTGCCATTGTGTGTTTGGGTGAAGGAAGGGGCCCTGACTCAGAAAGTCTGAATGCAAAAAAGATGCCATTCTTCCACCACACTCATCATAATTAAAGCTGAGAACCAAGACTTCCACAACCAGAAAGAAATAGATTAAGTTCATTTGTGCTCCAAGCATCTTTGTGAATTATTTTTCTCAAGGTATGAACTGGCAATCACAGACAGCAATCTCTCTGACCAAAGAGCAACAAGGCATCAGACCTGTTTGACTCATCATCCTAAAAGCAAGCAAGGAAGCAACTTATATTTTCTGCTGCAACAAATAAACTGATAACCTGCAATTTTTTGGAAGATGTAAGGATGGCGCCATAATCAGCCTTAGAAAAGCTCTATTGGCTCAACTAGTCAGCTATTTTCCACTTGCTTAACAGATGCCACCCCACTCAGGAGAACAGATGAGATACCTCTCTCTGGAGTCCTTTTGATTTGTATTCCCCTAGCTGTTAATGTAAACATTTTAGAAATCTTGTCCATCCAAAATAGTATATGAAGCCTCTCCATTGGGTGAGCCAGAGTTTGAACATCAAATGTGTTAACCTCAACTCCAGTTATTGGGTTCATACTAGGATCAATGGCCCTTACTTCAGTGGTTCATCAAATGAGCTACCCAATCAGTTAAGCTGGCATTTGTCACAATCTGGTCCTTGACCAACTGCCTTAACAGCATTTTCTAAGATAGATTGGGTAGAACAGATTACCAGTGCAGAGATTTGATCACACACTCTGATACCTCTAGACCAAGGGTGTCAAATTATGTCACGTGACATGTCATGACATATCACAACTTTTTCCCCATTGCCGGAGCTGGGGTGGGTGCGGTTTCGGCATGATGCATCCGGCTGGCAGGCCACCAGTTTGACACCCCTGCTCTAGACTAAACAAATTCTGATGGTGATCTGTTCCAGGAGTGGCAACAGAATCCACTGAAGTAGTCTGGCATAAAAAGTGCCCACAATACAGAGTCCCATGACACAATTATCATTCCCTGTAGTTTTGCAAGGGCCATGAGCAATTTCCTCTTGGATGTCAAGACTCCCATAATGTGTTCTTGAGTCTAAGCAAAACAAAATTCTCTTCTGCTTAGTGTTTATTAGAACCCCAGGTACAAAATCTGTCCTAAGGAAGGTAAAAAATTCTTTCAGTTTCCATGATCCTCCTTTGTACATGGGCTGAACAGCCTGACTGATGCACAATCATAAACAAATTATACAGGTATGCATAAATATGGACCCCCTGGGTCTTCAAATGTCCATTAATTTTGTGCACTATCTGGATACCAATGTAGAATCAAATGGAAGGGCCTGGATTTAAACTGTTACTTTCTATAAGGAAACGTGAAGAACCTGCAGTGCTTTGATCTGATGAAAAGATAAAGGTGCACCTTGAATAGGTCTATTGATGCAAGACAATTGTTCATTTGGAGTCCAATGTAATTGTCCAGTGCCTTTAGGTTCAAATGGCTCTTCAGATCCCTTTCCATTTTGGAACTATGAACATATTGAAAAATAGGCAATCTAGCCTCTTGAAAACTATAATTTGCTCCATAGTATTGTTTATTCTTAAAGATTGAGTTTTCCTTCTAACATTTTGTAATGCTTCTCTGCTTTCTTGGAAATGGGCTACAAAATAAACCACCTCCTGAATTTGTGGTTCTCCATATTCTCTGTCCTTGTTCAATTTTTTGTTTGTTTTCTTTTTCTCCCTTTGTACTGAACCATTTTTACATTAAGAACCGTAATCTGAATATTAGAAGTCCCAAATAAAAGTACAATCTCTTGATTTCCTCCCTCCCTTTAGTGCCACTTCTGACTGCCCTTTTTATGGCACAAATATCTGCTTGCTTTCAATTTTGTTTAATATAGGTAACAACCTTTTAAAAGCCTACCCCCACCCCCAAAGTGCAAGAGAATGGATCAGACACAACTATGAAAGACAGTGTTATTCCTCTGGAAACCCTCTAGGAAAAAAACATCTACTGTATACTATAGGTTTAAAATGATCACAATATTTTGAAGCATTTTGAATACAGATATAACATCTATTTCTTTTCTGAAAGATGTTTATTGAGCTTTAGCAATTGCTTGCAGAAAAAAATGATCAAATAAAAATTTTGCACTTGTGTTCATTTTATTTGGCAAAAGTAAAGGAATATGATAAGAAAATTAGCACCCCATCCGTAAACAGATGGCAATTACTCATTTTCTTACTTTATATTAAACAAAGCAACTGTAGATCAATGACTAGTGTCATATAACTAAGATAAAGAATCCTGCTGGAAACCACAGGGAATTGTAACTAGAGCTGATATGACCAGACTCATACCAAAGGTTATTTAGCTCTACAAATATCTATAAGGGAACAACCTGTTATACCATATGATCAGCTGACTTCTTTATTTTTGGTTGAGTCAAACGTATTAATTGATCCACAATTTATTAATGTCATTAACAAAATAGAAGAAATGAATTAGTGGAACCAATGAAATTATCTGTTCAATTACTATGCTGATATTATATATGCCACAGTCAATTTTGGGATTCATTGTCACTTTTAGAATAAGATAATGGCAGCGTCGGGCAGGGATGTCAAACTCAATTTCATCGAGGGCCGCATCAGCATTGCGATTGCCCTCGGGGGGCTGGGTGGGTGTGGCCTACTGGGTGGGTGTGGCCTGGGTGGGTGTGGCCTACTGGGTGGGTATGGATGGAGTGGGTGTGACCTACTGGGTGGGCGTGGCCAGCTCTACATTGCGTCAATGGTGCCTGTGGGGGCCTGGGCAGGAGTGGGACAGATCTGAGAGTCTCTAGCAGAAGGGGGTGGGACCAGGACAAGTGCCAAGGCATGGTCCACTGGAGGAGCCTCACTGTTCCTCCCAGGCCACGTGGGGGGGGGGCTGGATGGTACGGGCTGCCTGGAGCCCTGGACAGCAGAAGTCAAATGCCCAGCCTGGCCCTCGAGCACCCGCAGCACAAAGCCCAGCCCCACTTCCCCAAGGGGGTGCCCAGCTGCACTTACCTCCTCCTCAAGGCTGTTGCTGCTGTGCTTGTTCTCCTTAGCCAGATTGTTTATGATGGGTACGAGGCCAAAGTCAGAGGGAAGCCCATTTCCTCTCCATGGGAGGAGACCTGGCTTTGTATCCAAAGCTTCCTTAGCAATAGGATGGGAGACCCCCAGGATAGGCCACGAGGAGGGGGCAAGGGGATGGTGAAAGGGCAGCAGGGCAGGACTAAGGCAGGACTTCCCTCAGAGCCTCCCTCTCCTTTTCTTCTTTCCTTCCTAAGTACAGAGTGGTGGGAAAATATTTGAGATGAGGGAGGGAGAAAAATATTTGAGATGAGGGAGGCAAGAAACGCAGCTGGGGAGGTGTCACCTTCATGAGGAATGAAGAAATGCATCATCGCCTGGAAGTGGCCAGCACATGGCCTTCACCTACTTCACATATCTGGCTTGGTGGGCTCTGGGGGAGGGAATGGCATGAGCAGCGTGAGAGTCAACATTACCTGCGCAATGCCGCCCAGACCCCAGCATGCCCAGTTTCAGCAGGCAGCAAGGCGCTCTCCTCACAGTGCCAAGAGGTTGAGCCAGGCGGTGCGAAGCTCGCCAGCTTTGCTGAAACTGAGCAGGCTGGGGGCTAGGCAGCATTGCACTTCTCATCAGATTCGTGCCACCCGGCTCAGCCTCTCGGTGGTATGAGGAGACCGCCCCGCTGCCTGCCGAAACCCCTCCCCCGGAGCCCATCAAGCCGGATATGTGAAGTAGGCTAGGGCCATTTGCTGGCCACTTCCAGGTGATGGTGCATTTTTTCATTCCTCACAAAGGGTGATACCTCT